TTTCCCACCGTCTTTTCCCACCGTCTTTTCCCACCGTCTTTTCCCACCGTCTTTTCCCACCGTCTTTTCCCACCGTCTTTTCCCACCGTCTTTTCTCACCTTCTTTTCCCACGGGTTTCTCATCTGCTTTTCCCACCGTCTTTTCCCACCTTCTATTCCCACTCTTTCTTTCTAAGCCTCTGCTCTCTTTGGTTGGTCGGAATGGTCGGGAACGCCAAGGAAGTTAGGGAGGTTAGAGGCAAGAAGGCAAAGAAGTTCGAATGGTCTAAGTGGAGGCCACGACTATCAACCGTTTTGAGGCAGTTCCGTGCAAGCGATGCCAATGCCAATGCCAATGAAGCCGACAAGACTAAAGAAACCGATGAGATTCGACAAAGGCGCCTGAATTTTGGGCGTGTTGTGTCGAATACACACAAATCTAAAAAATATGAGCAACAGCGAAGAGATCGCCGAGCACGGGAGAAGCTAGTGAAGATTCGCATAGTCATGGGCTTCGAGTTTTTCATTCTTTGCGCCGCGGCGCTTTCCTTGACAAGGATTTATTTGATTGATGTCTCTGGAAACATAAATGAAATGGAAGCATGGTGGCAGCAGCAGCAGAAGGAACTTCCAAAAAGCTTCGTCGCCTTCTGTGACGAATGTAAAGAGGCTATATTAACACGTAAGTTACGATTGAGACGGATTCATTATCCTAACTTGGTTACAGTACCTGTTCCGCTCGATGACGATGACGACATCTGTATTCATTGGCAGAGTGTGTTATCGCCGCCACAGCAGGACTCAATCCAAGAGGACGCTGTGCTGCTCAACCACCAGTCTCAACAAGTATCTCCTCATTTACCCGACCTGCCACTTGACATCATGAATTATTCCGGCAGCCAACGTCCACAGAATTCGGGTACCACGGAATTTCCCATAGATATGTCGTATCTCCCACCGAACTACATCTTGGGGTCATCCGGCTTTGTATTCACCACTATAAAGAAGGCTGCACTGCTTAAGGTTATCGAGACACTCCCAGATGAGATTCAGGTGGCACATTCTTTCTATAGCAACTCGCAGCCTTTTGCCTTCATTCCTATAAATGATGAGCTCAGCGAGTGTTCGGATCCAAGTCTTGACATATTTTTTAGCTAGAATTTTAATTAAGCCTGATCCCATATTATTCATCATACCTGATATCTCCACAATCTTGCGAATCCGCATCGCCCCAAATATCCTAAAATACCATGTTGGTTCACCCCAGGGCAGAATACCAACTTTGCTGAATCGTGTACGATCGTCATCGGAGCCGATACTTGTGATAAAGGTATTCCCTAGCGCATTTTGTGCCTGACTATATATCTTTATAATTCCGCGGTCATCAAAATACAAAAGTAAGCGATGAGGTGTTGTTTCAGGTTTGTGTCGGCCGTCGGCTGAGGGAGGAGTGTCGATAATTTTGTAGGTATTAGGACTAAGCTAAATACTTGTAGGTAAGATGGAACATGTAAATCGACCGCGAATCAACTCACTCCGCAAGATACAAGGATGTCGTCATCGCTTGTCTCCTTAGGAAGCCATATAATATTTTCAGCCGTCACCACCATTTCTAGCAAGGAAATCGAAGTATGTGTTTACAGATTAACGTCAACCCGCCCTTAAAAGAAAAGGCGAAAGAAGAAAGCAGAGGAAGGTTAGTTATTCAGGACGAGTGGCCTCTTGAGCATGACCGGCACGGGTGAGTAGCTAATGAGCTGATGCTGAGATGTGAACAAGCAGTCCACACTTTCTTAGGAAAGTGGGGAAAGAGAACGTGGAGGCCTCCAGGTGGGTGGAAAAGCATAACTGAGTGACAGGGGTAGGCAAACATGGCGGGAAAACAAAGTGGAAAAAGGAGGTGGAAAAAAAGAGAGGGAATAAAAAGAGACTGGGAAAAGAGAGTGGAGGAAAGGGGTGTACAACTAGATTAATTTGCTTTCCTAATACAAATATAAATAAAGGCGAGGAGCCCGTTAGATGATTATGATCGATCAAACTCAAATTCCAGCTTCAATTGTTTTCAATCACCAACTATGATGTCGAAACAGAGTCCTGTGACAAGCAGCCGTCTTTGGCATTTGTGCATTCTGCCACAACACTGCGACCGGCGATTCTATGGTGTGTACGGTCGACTTATGCAATTCGGTGGTACCACTGCTTCTTTTAAGCTAGACGACCTTTCCGTCGAGCACCTGATGTTGTATTTTTCAACTGTGCTCCAAGGTATCCAAAATGTTTTCCCTGATATGTTTTTGGACAGCTCAATCAAATCGAGGCTTGAACACATGGTCATCCAGGTAGTCGAACCTGAAGACATGCGGCGTATTCGAGATATATCTGACGATACACAAACTGCCGCCCATCTTACCGATAGATCCGCTGCGATGGTCGTGCGATTAATTCTGAGCGAATTTCTTCCTCGTCCAGTGGTTGAAAATATGGTTGAGGATTACTTCCCAGAGGATACCAGCGACCTCGAAGATACGATGACTACGGCATACGATCGCTACCGGCGCGCTGATGGAATTTATGCTCTCAAGGAATTGTTTAGTTCTGTCCCTTTTTCTGAGGATATGGCCACAGACACAGGTTTCTCCGGCAAGAGAAAAGGTGCTAAAACTGACAGCTCCTATGTCAACACCAGCAATGGAAACAACCATGGAAGAGACTTTAGCATTATTCTTGACCCCCATGTCTACAATGTCAACACTTCGTCCAGTCCTGTCAACCCAAATGATCTAAGCAGACCTGCTGTGGTAACAGCAGTAGATGGTGGAGGAGTTGCTGGACTTGTTCGCGGTTTCCATTTCGACCAATCTGACGAATCGGCTACGGAAATACTGGACGACGGTTCAGTTGATGGAATTCGCAAGGAATATACTTTCGCGATTATTCGAGGTGTCCCCGTCCGTGGTTTTGCTATCATCAATGGCGGACATGCTCAGCTTCAGCTGAGTCAGCAAGGCATCGAATGTGTGCGACGCCTTATCTATGAGCTGCTTCAGCATATGCCAGGTCTGGAGGAGTGTCATCTGCCGAGTTCGAGTCCAAGTTTGCTTCGCGTGGAGCAGCTTCTCCAAAATATGAAGATCGAATTGACTGAAGAAGATCTGATTCAGCGCATTGAGAATGCCTCGGATACAGATTTGATACCATGGGCAACAGAAACCACCATTTGGGCCATCCAACAATGCATTTTATCTCCATGGTTATGCGAGATTGTGAGGCCGAAGCACCCTGCCGGCAGGGTCACTTTTCCGCTTCCCGGAGAAGACCCTGAGTTACAGCAATCCCGTAATAACAGCGCTGACCCGTGGGATCAACTTTCAGAGGACTTACATACAGCTAATATGTCACTGAAGCGTTTGGTGGATTTCTTGACAATGTTGCCTCATACGCAAACGGACTTGGTGCTAGATTTTGCTTGTGCGGGAGCGCTAAGCTCGGTTTCAACTATTCAACGCAAGCTAACTTACTTCAGGCGCATAGGACTAAAGCTCACCCCTCAGGTTAGATCCCACAATCCTGTCCAACATGTCATGCTTACTTCCTTTAGGATATTACCAATATTGAAAACGCAAAGAAGAGCACAAGGAGGTAGCGCGCGACGCGAAAGATGCTAAATGTACTACGCAGCAGAAGATAGATTAATGGCAATATTCCTGCGGGTTTAACCGATCGCATAATAGTAACGCCAGACATTTTCTCTTAGCCTTTACCAATCCATCTCCCCCTCTCACTTCCCCTCTCCTCTCCTGTCGCATCAGATTTGCGCCTTTATGCAAGATCTACCAGCGCAGGCCCTGAAAGCGCCGCCCACTCTAGCGACCACTCGTCCTTTGGCTGCCGGCTTGTTATGGCAGTGAAAACCTGACCTGTGATGTTGCTTGGAATATCAGTATGTCCTTTCCCAACGCCATCAATGGTTATATTTGTGTACGTCGGCTCCTGATCCTGACCCACCCATGCAGCTGTCAATGGTCTTCCTGCTTCAACAACGAATGGCATCTGAGAAACGTCCCAAGAGAAGTCGATACGGCGATCGGCTTGCTCTTGCGCATGCTGCGTTGAGTTAATAGCAGCCTGGATCATTGGTAGGACAGGTAGCGGGACACCATCAGGACATGAGCCAGGAATAACGTACTGCAGAGCAAAGTTCTGCGCCCACAGCATATGGATAATGGTGTCGAAGGCCTGAGGATTTGGTATCTGCTGTTCTTCAAGTAGCAGGAAGGCATCGTGGCGAGCTTCCACAGTTAAGATTGAGGAAAGACTGCTCACTAAACCAGGATCAGTCTCTGCCAATTCACCTGACAGCCCAATCAATGCACTCATCCCAACAGTGGTAAGGCGCTGAGCTACGAAGATGAAATCATTCCAACTGTTCACTGGGAATGAATAATTACACGGCCGAATCGGGGCTATATCATAGGCGTCAATCATAGACTGGAGGATCCGCACATGCGTTTGTTCTTGCTATATAAGGGTTAGATTTGGTGAGCTTGATATGAATATGAACGAACTTACGTCCGCAATCCGTGCGATAATGTCTCCAGAGTCATTCAGCGCGTTACTGGTGTCCCAATTAGAGAAGTTGGCGGCTGCAGCAGTAAAAAAAGAAGATTCCAAGTGTTCAACGAAAAGAAGAGCTTGGATATTGTCCAATGTGTTGCTGGAAATTGACTCGGGTAAGATGCTCGTGGGGATTGCTTCAGCAGTTTGAATGTCGCAAGACCCCATGGTACAGATCTGGGATGCGTGTGTCGCGCAAGCATCACCACCCCAAGTGCTTATTGGTGAGATGCTGGTCGAGCTGAGAGTTGAAACAGCACCGCTGTTGCTGTTAGGTGTACTTATGGATAAGCTGGAGGTCGCCGACGAAGACACTGGCGCTTGCCAGTGTGTTGTTATGGATGAGAGCAAAGGCGAACAAGAAGAAAAGCTAACCAGAGCTGAAATAGTGAGAGTCGTTGCAAAGGAGGCCATTGAGAGTTTGCGTTGACGTTGAGATAGTTAGAGAGAGATACTAGGTCTTAGAGCCCATGAGGTATATATTCTCTTGATGAGCGGGGCTTAGACGAACAAATTTCGAGATCTTGGATTTTTGACAGCATCGAGCCACAATTAGCCGCCGCCATGCTTCTGAACCTTGATGAAAATAGCAGCCGGCGCTTTGCTGAAAATATATATATGTATGAACAGCGATATAGCACCGAGTTGGTAAGACTTATCCATCATGCGTTTATGGGTTAATCTCAGTAGCACACATCGTGATCGCCCTGTGAACGGCACGGCAGTATTTACAAACTCGCGCCGTGAGAAACAAGATCAGCGTTTTCTTCAGAGATGCAACTCCACGCCGTGTGTCGAGAACATTCTACGGCAAACTCGCCCAGGGACGGTCAACTATATCACGGTGAGGGCGCTTGCTGAGAATGAGCAGGACTGCTCATATCTTGAGTTCTCGGCTTGCTTTAAAAGGCTAGCACATGGATGGGTCGCTATCCAGGTGGATATCGATAGCGAAGGCCATGAAAACGTGCGGGCAATCTACAACGTGAAGCCTGAACTGTTGTCGACGAGGGGGCCGATACACATGATATGTGAACTATACGACCGCGTTTTCTGGATGCTGGAGGGCGGGTCAACACTGAGGCAAATAGCGGAGGCATTAGAGAACGCGTATCGTGCTGACCCTTGTGTATACAGCTCATTGTGCGACGTCAATATCGAAGCTGTATTCTAATTTATCAACGCATCATCATAGACTAGTACTACACAAATGTTATGAGGCGGCCAGCCAGCCATTGAGGTGGACAGTGCATGCGGAGAATATGCCGCGCCAGCCAGTAAGAAACGAAGCGAAGCGCCGTCCAAAATTCTAGGATCGCGGAAAGTTGACACAGTGACGTACACAGCCGCACGACTGCTGCTTTGAAAATGGATTCGCTCAACGCGTTCGCTCCATCTGTCAAGTCAAAATTTTTTTTCGCCATGAGCGCAATACTGCAGAGACTTTCGGGCGTCGTCAGAGTTTTGTTTTCCCAACTACGATCGGACAAATCCTATACCGACATGTGCCGCGAGGCTTTCGAAGTGCCCTTCGAATCCTTGTGTGCTGGTATCTTCTCCTGGCTTAACCTAGCAGGCTTTCTTTTTTTTCCTACAACGCATCAAATCGCACCAAGCTTCCTAGTTAATTCGGAGCAAACTGCGTTTATTCGTGATTCTGTACGTGGAACTCATATTCTGATAGCTCTATGTGTTATTGGAAACTGTGGACACTGTATTATGTGGTATCGATGGCGGCAGAACTATGTTCTGCTTTTACATGGTATCTTCTAGTATGGCTGCTCTTCTACGGTACGTGTCAAAGTGCTGATTTGATACTAGCCCCTGTCTCTATCAGTCGTTCGCAGGCTTGGTGAGTTGTTTCATCAGTGTTTGGACACACAACTGGGCCTGTCCTCCGACAGTGGTAACATCCTTCGCAATCATTGGAGGCTATGGGGCAGGTATTCTGCTGCCCACCCTAATGTATTTCTGGCTGCTATGGCGAAAGCGGGATATCGATACCAAAATCCCGACCCGTAACACGTGTAAATAATCATACTCAGATATGAAGTGAACTGTACTGCTTTTTATTCTAGTATTGGATGAATAGAGAGGTGGATCTATCTAATGGCATATACTGGCAAATTACATCATGAATTGGGCCAATTCTCTCAAAAGACACGCTAGCACAAGCATCCAGAAAACAGTGGAGTATATCTGAACAAACAAAACTGGTTGATATGCTGCTGCACCATTGTCAATAGCAGGACTGATGGTCGTTGGTGTTGGGCCAATTCTGCCCTGTGAAGACATGGCAGACAATAGACTTGTTGAATTGAACAATGTCTGATTGAGGCTCATGTTGGCAGTTCCACTGCCAGTGCCTGCTGACGTGTTCGCGAGGGTCAGAGGGGTGGTGGTGGCTGGAAGACTCCCATACCACGGCAATGTTCCAGCAAATGGGGACATTGTTGAACTCGGTAAGTCAGGGGCCTCGAGCGAACATACGCATCTCATTGATTGAGGGGAGAGATTGGCGGCATCAATTTCAACTTGGACAACTACTGTAAGGTCCGTGGCGGATGGAGGAAAGTTTTGACTTTGGGCAGCGGTAGCAGCCCACAGTAGCAAAGTTGCTGCGCACATATCGGCTATGAATCTCATCGCTGTTTTGCGTGGACATAGGCGGATCAAAGTATAAGAGGTTTCGCCCCGGTGCTTCGGACACAGCCGCATCGTGTGTCCCAGATCAAGATTCAGAGTTTCGCAAAAGCTATATTAAATTTCTATATATAGCAACTGACGACCGAGTATAACATCACAGCAATTTTTGACCTTCGCAGGCTACTACCTGTCTTTCATATTCAATCAACACCCAAATGGCTTCTGCAGCAGTACAAACATCCCTTCCAGGGGCTCAAAATCAAAATCAAAATCAAACTCCTTCAAACATTGCCACACATCAAAATGCTCAACTTGATTCCGATGCCGTGTCCGATGCCGGATCTGATGCCTCTGGTGACGATCCTGGACCGGAACAAAGGTATGAACCATTCAGAACAGAAGACGAATGGAAATACAAAATCCCAAAGCGTTATGATAATGACATTCCATGGGACGATCCTCTCTCAGGCATTATGTACAACGACGATGGCACAGTCATATATGAAGACATGACTGAGAGCCAGAGGGCACAAAAGGATGAATTTCTCGCCCAAAGAGCGAACGGAACATATAAAAATCCAATGCAAAGACAAGCTGAAGCAGCGGGAGTTGCTGATGATACCACGAACACAGGGGAGGGGAGGGCAGCAATTCAGCTTGCCGGATTGCAAGGCGCTCTTGAGGAGAGGGCATATGCCAGTCCTGCCCCCCCGGAAGTACAGGAAGTGCTTATGCGGGCGCTTCCTCTTATTAGAGATCAATGGAGCCGCAAAATTAATCATCGGACCTTTTCGATCCACACGTCGCCGTTTAAAGTTTACCAAGAAGCACTAGAGGCAATCGTGCAACAAAACCCAGCCTTATCAAAGTACAAGCGACTCCCAATTGAGCCGATAAGAGTGAACATTGGGACACTGCAACCGCTGATTCACGACTTGGAGCGAACAGACCTAAAGGCTCAATATCTTAGTAATGCGCAGATGCAGACGGTAAACAAGTACCTAGACGCACTTAATTCCTTGAGCCTACAACTTATGAACGCCCATCTCCCTCTTTCAGCAGTTTTCCCACCCACGGTCTATCGCATAACTATGGAGGTGCTAAGTCGAAATGATATTACCAACGTTAACGCCCCTGGTATTATGTCATATATAGCCCAATCTCTACTCCCAACAAAGAAGATCGTCGAGAGCCTGAAGCCTTTAACTGTCGCGATGCACAATGCGCAAACAGATCAAGAGAAAGACAATGCATGGAATGCTTGGGAACAGCATTACAAGGAATGTGAGAAACGTATCAAGGAACTACAAGAAGCGTGGGGAGAGAACGCGCTGTTCTATATGATCCCAATTGATAGCTTCCGTGAATATGTCACAGTGTGGAAGAGCACCGCCGTTGCAAGTCGCGCCTCCATTGATGCTAAGTTTGCCCGCAGCGTGAATGCAATCTGCGCATATCTGGACCTTAGCCCTTGGTTTGACGGTGTCCAGGCAACCGAGCAAGAAAAGAAGGATGCCTTCACATACATGACGAAGCCGGTCCTGGCTCTGCCGCCACCAACGGATCCTATGCAAGGGGTTTCCTACTCTGGAGCAGCAGATTCTCTAGCATCGCCGCCTGCTACGGGAACAGCAGCCCCACAATTGCCAGCGCCCACTTCCGGAACCGCAGTTACCACTACAACACTAGTGCCGGCACCCGCTTCCGGAACAGCAGCCCCGCAAATGCCAGCGCCCGCTTCCGGAACAGCAGCCCCGCAAATGCCAGCGCCCGTTGCTGCAGGGTCAGGAGCCACGACGACAAATGCGACAGACACCAGCACAGTCACGGCAACGAGCTCTCAGGCCTATATTGACTTTAATTCCATAATACCTACCATTGAAGTAAGAAGCAACGGCGAAGTATGGAGCCATAGAGGTAAAGTCGTGTGGGTATCGAAGAGAGGGAAGGACTCATACTACGTGATTGTGAACGCTGGAACTGCGCGAAAGCCCTTTCATCTGGGATTCACGTCGGGCGATTTTGCAATAGACTCAGCTAAAAAGGCTTACGAACATTTCGGCAGCCCAAGCCCACTGGAAAAGGCGGAGAGATTGGAATTGAGAGGAAAGGTTCTTACAACAGACTGGGTAGTACAATGGAAGATGCCCTGGGGCAGCACATTCAGAGAAATTTATAGGTGGGGTGTTACCTGGCAACCAGGTACGAAGGTGCGTGGGAGGGATCCGCCCAGTACTTTGACACAGACGGAAGCCTGCGAAATTGTCGGCCGGAAAATGATGGAAGGGAAACTTGTCAGACACATGGCAGCACACGAAACGTGGAAGGGTCAATTTAAGGGTTGGGCTGCAGAGAACAAACACCCTGACACAAAGCAACCTCTTACGGAAGCGGAGCGGAAGGAAACACCTTGGTTCTTTAAAGAGTGGGATAATAGCTCTGCTGGGTCGATTGGAGCGACAGGAACCTCTGTGGGAGACGGCAACCTCGCCGCGTATGATTGATGAGTTGATCGCTCATGGTTCTGACAAGGTTGCTTGCTGGTAGAGCAACCTGCGCCCACTGCAGGTCTGGGCAGTGTGTTTTTGCGTCCAGTCTCTTCCGCTTTTGTAGAATTAGTTGCAATGGAATTTTCGTAGGTAATGCCATGCCATCATCACCAGTACTTCTGCAACCTCGTAATCATAGCCATACTAAGCCTCACCGCCGAGTAGACAGAGATAGAGGCGATGAGAGCGTCGCGCCGGCCGATCATCATGCGTGATTGGTTTGGAGAGTGAAGTCACGGCAAAGGCCACCGGTGGAGCACACCAAGAAAAGGTGAGGGGCAGGCGCACGCTGTCTATAAAAGGGCGGCCGTTCCCCATCTTGCTCTTCCATCTCTTTTTCTCCCTCCCCCCCCCCCTCGCTCGGTTCATCTCATCACCAGCCTGCTCAGCACCGCTTGTACCTCACTTCACGATGCCAACGAACACAACTAGACACAACTAGACGAAGTAGTCGATCGGATCCTGATGCAGCATTCAGACCAAGCCACTCTGTATTCTACGACCTCAGTCGTGTGCGTGGCGGTAGCGGTGCTACTGGTTCTGATCAAGAAGCTTTCAGGGAGTCCGCTGGCCGCATAGGAAATGAGAGCTCTACGGAGAATGGCCACGGCGGGGGAGGCAGGCAATCCGTCGGCTCTGCTGCGATACGCGCTTTGAGCGTTGTTCCTACAGAAGTCGTTAATCTTGTTGATGATCAAGAGGAAGATGAGAGTATCGCCGGCCCTTCTTCTGCAGCACCTGCCTGTGGTCGCACTGTAGCATTCATCGGCGAAGGTGGCGAAGGCGGAGCAGATGAGCGCACAACTGGCCGCTCTGCTGCTGTACGAGCTGGCCGGAAGTGACTCTCGATCGCTGATCCCATCAGCGAGAGACCGGCTAGTCATGGTCCACCCAAGAAGCGTACGCCCAGTTTTACCACTTCTGCATAGAATCTAATGCTAACCGCCCGAAGGAAAGCGCGAGGTGTACTGAGAACTGAACCCACGTGGCACAGCATGTACTTGACCAGACTTGGATTGAAAGACAGCGTCACTGAGTTTGGGAGCATGCGCGGCCACCAAAATGAGCAGTTGGGTCGTATCGCCGCTGAGCTCGGACAGCTCAACAAAGTACTGACACCTTTCCAGCGTACGGCCAAAAGCGCTGAGAAATTGCTTAGTCAGGTGAGCAAGAAGCAAGATTTGGCTTCCGAAACACTGCTCGGCATCGACGGACACGATTGTGCGATATGCTATCGTCGGGGACCTATACACAAGGCTGGAGAATGGGCCTTCATAGAGCCGTGTGGACATGGTCTGTTTTATGTAGATGCACAAAAAAACTGGCGGACAAATGGGTGCTGGAGGACAGTGTTGCGCGTGAGGAAGTGGAGGAGGGAAAACAGCGCCGGCTCCAATGCCCCTACTGTCGAAAGGCTGGCAAGTTCGTTCCGCTATTCGTTGTTTCTGTAGGATAATTGTGGTCAGTAGGAGGCTGATAGTCACGCACGTTCCTATAGCGTGAAAGCTAAATCTGGTTTTCTTGCAAGGGCAGTGCTGTGCCGCTCGTGGATTTAAGGAACGGCCATTTTCCTGCTTATTAGCTAGCTCGTATCAAACACAATCAACAAAGAGACAAACGATGCATTACCATCCTCAAGTTTCCTTCTACCCTACAGTGGTTTCATCTATATCGCGTCCACCAAACAACGTCGAGCTTTTCATTATGAGCAATTTCGACCAGCACGTTCAACGCTGTTACTTATGTAATAGGCGGACACCGAGGTTCTGTGGAGTGTTTCAGCGTATTGCAAGATCTCTGCTCATAAAATTAGAAATGAGGCATGATGGCTTGATATATTCCACCTTAAGTGGTCGCTGGGTGTCACAACGTGTTGAAGTGCCGCATGATTTTTCGTCCGTCCATGAGTACCTAAGGCTCTGCGCTAGGAATGCTCAGATACTAGATATATAAAAAATTATTCATCTTATAATTAGTTAGAAGGCCCATACGGATCAAGATTGGATTTGCATGCAGCAGACATGGTGTTGCCCTCGCGGGGCTGGACGTGAGGTTGAAAGTCATGCGGGCTTTATTGGCAGGAATAAAGAATCCAGGATATGGATTATCCTGGATTTAATCTGGAATAATATTCGAATTCTTAGTGGTCTGTGCGCTTAAATAAAATGTCGTAATAATGGACTCAACTCTGAGTCCAAAAATGCATCACGTGCGACCCCCCGTTCTTTTAGGGGCTATAACTTACCCTATTTTTTAGGGCCTCGCTTTCCCAAGAGTATTTGGAATAATAATCCAAAATTTGGATATCCAAACCCGATTTATCCATTATCAACCCTGCCCCTGATTACCTTGTGGGCTTTCACACAAGTCCAGTGCATGCTTTCACCCGAGTCCCGCCATCCAGACATGCCCAGCCACGCAAGGCGCTTTTCGATCCCAGATTTTGGAATTCGGCGTCAGGAAGGGACAGGTTGAAGGGCGCTTGTTCGGGCGTCTATAAAGCAAGCTTGTCTGAACTCTGTTGCTGCTATTCTCTCTAGCATCTAGCTCCACCATCACGCACCATGTCGTTCACTTACATCTCCGACAACAATAACAGCAAGACCCGCCGAGATTCCAGCCACTCGATTGTCCACCGTCATCATCACGGCGAAGAAGGTAAAGAACCACGAGCATTTAAGACCGCTCTCGTCAGTGCTTTACTTGCTGGCTTTGCCGTCCATAAGAAAACCAAAGGAGACAAGCTCTCCTCGGTGGCTGCTGCCGCAGTCGGTGCCCTTGTCGCGCGCGAGACCAAGCGGTACGTCAAGCAGCCACACGACCGGCGTTCTTATATTAGGGAATAGAGTAAAATAGTCTTTGCGGTTTGGTGTTCTTGCCGCAATCTCCTTCACTCCAAAGCTGCAGATAGAGAAAAATACAATTTGATAATAGCTAAGTTAACTACAAAATGCTCAAGATATGTGTCTGTGAAGTTATAAGTTACCCGTGGGCATCCTCTGAAGGTGGCATTTTGCGGTACCCGAAAAGTCTCCAGCCATGCGAACTCGCTGTGGCGATGTCCGTTGTACTACCCTTCAATATCGCGCCAGCGGTCGACAATCCAGGAAAGAAAAGGATGACGGCCAGCTGTATCTCTACCCGTGGGAAGAGAAAGCCCTTGCCAAATTCCTGGCGCACCAAGATGCCCTTGGACGCTCTGTTCGGGTAGGGTATATACGTTCAATAGCCTTCGGCATTGCCTGTCAGCGAGAACCAAGCAATAGGCCAAGTAATCCTCCGTACGAAGGCTGGGCGCAAGCCTTTTATAATCGCCATCCTGAACTGACCGCGAGCAAACAACAAGCATTAGACTGGAAACGGTTTGACATATGATAAGGTTGCACACTGGTTCGAAGTGATTGGGCCAGTGCTGCAGTGTTCGGACATACTTGTAATTTGTGGAATTATGATGAAACTGGCACTCTTCTTTTGATGCCGAACACAGTGAAAGTCGTCATCAGCAAGAACAATAAGCGAGGCCGAAAAGGCGCGCGTATGGCCATCAAAAGCTAACAGAAACTCTATAATAGATCGTTAATAGCCATGTCCAATGACCAGGTGAAAAATAAGCTATCTATAGACTGGGACAGGGAGCGACGATGTAGATGTAATATTCAAGTCTAGAGATGTGGCGATACTGTCGGGCAGCCGAACTACATTATTCAGTAAGGAAAGAGGCAGAATAGACACAAACGCGACTGTATGACTACTTGCAAGACAAAGTACATGGATATGTGGCCCTTTGCGCCGGGTGGCCCGTTGCACCGGGATCGATGTTACAATAAGTCATTGCACTGTCATTCTATAAACTTATCACCACTAAAGATGACCGGCATCTCAGTATTATCTAGTCTTATTTAGGTAGTTCTTCGGGACGGAAGTCTGGATATATAAGATCAATATCATTGAACGTCTCAATCCGATCAATGTCAGGTTCATTCACGTCGCCGTTGACACGATACTTGTTCTGGGTGGTCGACGTTGCTGATCTGTCGTTTCCAGTTAGGACGACTTGCGTGCCTCGGCTCGAGGTTTTACGAACGGCAGCCCGAATATCCTGGTCTACGCTGGGAGTCGTGCACGCTATATTCGAGGGATCAGCGATGGTACAAGTCATTTTGCTAGGGATTCGACGTACCAACAACGGCCATGTTTCCGGCCTCTGCATCCCACTCTTGCTGAATAACGTCCGCAACAAACATTGCTCCCTCGTGCGAATGCAGGCCCCGCATTATCCTTCGGCTCTCGCCAGGTCGGTTTCTGCCTCGCACGTATGTAACGATGTTAAGAATCTCTCGTGGATCTTCTCGCAGCAGCAGCTTGAACAGATCTTGAACGATACTATACTGATCTGCAAGCAACTAGTTAGTTCCACGGCAGCTTTTCGAGGCTCAGCAACAATAGTGGACAAACCTTCGGAATCGGCCAGCCACGTGAGGGATATCCGTCTAACCCTACCGGTTTTGTTATTGTGCGATTTCAGAAGTTTCTGAATTGAGACTATGCATGAAGCCACACCCACGCCGCTGGTTATGTATAGCACTTTATCATAATCATCAACATGGTAATCTACGCCGTACGGCCCATCCAATAGGACAGCAGCTTTCGGCTCTGCAGTCCTGATCTTTTTCGAGAAGCCACTGCGCCGGTCAAGAAGGAATTGTAGCACTTGCTTGCCCTCGATGACTTCCTGCCACATAACCATATATGGATGCCACTGCAAAATACCTTGAGCCCTGTTGGGTATGCTGGGAAAACATATGTAAAAGTAGTGGCCCGGGAAGATATTGCACGGCTTTTTCAGCGTTACCCAGAGCCGGTGCGTGGACTGGGCTATCCCCGCAATCTGATCGTGGCCGTTGCCGTCGATGTCTGCCTGCATGGCGCGCGCTATCCCATTACTCACCTCGTTGTCAGCTCGGGGGCTTCTGAAATATTTGGGGACGACGTCAATATCGCTCAGCGTCGCGGTGTGGAATCCTCCGCTTCGCAAAACGATCGCAAGAACGGACAGGAGCATCCAACAAAACCAGATGACAGAGATACAGGATAATATGCTAACAAACAAGGTGTTGTTCAAGGGCACGTGAGCCCATAGGGCCCCTAGGAATACGAAAGCAACGAAGGCATGAACGCGTTTGAATACTTCATAGAAGTAGCGCCGCACAGGGAGAAGGGAGAAAAGGATTAGAGAGGGTGTGGTTACGATGAGCTGCGCAATGGTGAGCGTGCTTCGTTGCTTACAGGTGGGGTACTTACTGTGACGAAAAGCACGCCAATCCGCATCGGCGACATCCACATACGCAGCGCTATGTGGATGGCCATATGACTGAAGCACGTGCGACCTACCCAACGATGCAGAAATGCGAGTTCGCCGAGCCGGATCCGGAGACAGCGGTCTAAAGCAAGGTTCACTCGGCTCCCGAGAAACACGGCACACAAATTTATCATCGCCAACGTGCTTGCGTTTTTAGAAATCTGCAGTCGATCAGGCCGCCCGAAGAACAGGCAGAATGTATTACCGGCAGCGTAGAGCGCGAGTATACTTAGCGCGAGCATGTTAACATCGAGGCTGCTATGGAGCCGCTTACCGACATGTGTGTGGATCATGGCTCTTCGGAAGTGCGACCGAAGGAAGTATCGGCTGCGCTCGTTGAGTAGTCGAAGGAGGCGGTACAAGAAGCACGCGCTAAGACACGATGCAAGGGAAATAGCATAAATCCAAAGCTGCTCCATGGTGAGTTGTGCTACGTACGGCGCGTCACGAAGAATGCTGATGGTGGCTACTTGTAGGCCAGCGCGAGGGTGCATTTGCCACTCGCTTAGAGGTTCATCCTCACTCTTGATTCCTGGATCTCTTTCAGGCGACAAGGCTGTGCAGTGATGTGCTATGCAGCTGAAGCAGTGCATTGCATGGTTGCCTCAAGGCGCTAGGCAGACTTGTGCACGCGCCCTACCTGCATCACAATTAAGCGCCGACTCTGATGTTGGTTCGCTGACTCTGTTTGTCTTCAGGAGCTCCGTCTATATGAATATATAAAGATAACACGATGGCGCACATCACGGCTCAGGAACAAGACGAAAGCGAATTTCAAAAAGCAAAACATGAAATCCCAAACTGACAGCTTGGCTGGCTGGCCAAAAGGATTCGCTGGCAAGGAAAAGTCCGGCTGCCAGAAGCTGCTCAATTTGGGCGATGACTATAAATTTAACGTTGCCCGTTTGGTGGTAGATGAAAGATTGAAGAGAGTACGCGCCTTTTGCAACAACCGTGAGGTTTTTCAAAGGCTGTTCCGCTTCGATGTGAGTTTGCCAAGGTGGGACTTCGAGAGCGACTAACCTATGTTATTGGCAGGATGACTATGAAGTCGAATTGATGAGCCCCAGCGACATTTTGACTGTCAAAGAGCTGCAGAAACGAGATGAACGCCTCGCTCGCACGGCGTCGGCCCGCTTAGATGCCCCTCCCAACAAGCCGCGGGTCAAGGTGGGTTCTACGTCTCCCAGACTCTATACCTACTCATATTCTCAGGCGACAAGGCAAGACGCAGAATGGGACCTTCAAGATACCCTGATGTTTTCGGGGCCTCCAAGGTTTCCTTCTGCTGAGCTGCCGACAACTCAAGCGGACCAGCACCATGACACTGCGAATTTTGGCAGCAGCTTCCTTTGTGAGCTTCCCGCTACGACCGTTTCTCATTTCGACGATGGCCTCATTCCCGCAGCTATGGACTCTTCTAGCGGCAATCCCCACATGTTGGGGACGAACAGCGTCCAGCCTTTCGAGGATATCGTGCAGCCAACTGAGGAACTTAATGCACTGATTCCAACTTCCTTCGTGCCCAGAGGTGATGGCGATGCAGTGACCGAGGGTGCCTTGATCCTGGCGTCTCAAGCTCATATGCTCTCTCCCCGCACCTTGATGGACTTCAGTATCGCGCCCGACAGCACTGATATGATGTTGGACGATGTTGAATTCATCCTCAATGCAACTTCACCAACATATAACATGATGCTCAAGACTCCGGCGATGGCCACGTTCTGTATCGAGTAGTTCCAACAATAGGAAGCAACCATGGCTACGTGTTATGGTTAGGGAAACGACGCATCCAACTAGAGCACGGTAGAGGTTTTACATGCACGTATGCTTATCAGATTTCAAACTTAGGATTCATCAATTAATTTGGGTGCTTTAAAATATTTGGTTTATCGTCCATCCTTATTAGATGAACGTTGTCATTTAGCTTCTAGTAGCCTTTAAAAATGCTAGGAGCGGAGGGCATCGACAGAGAAGAGTAATATGAAATAGTAGTCCCACCGCAATTGAAAAATTGATCCAGCCTGATCAACGCTCTCATAAGGTGGAATTGTGCAGGCTGCCCTCCGCCCGTGTTTTTGAGGGATCTCCCGTTGACACGCGATGCTCAAGACACGGATTTAGAAGGACATTGTCCTGTTTGTGCCGGAATGAGACCTTCTAACTCCTCCAATTAGATTGGTTCGGTCCCCAATCTAGAGTGAGAAATCGCGGGCGAGCCCGCTTGCGAGCAGTCTCTCCGAGACCTTGAAATATACTGAACAAAGCTAATTAGCAAATTTTGTAAGAGTTGCCACGAAACGACATATAATGTATTGTTTCTCGAGACTTTGAATACTTGAAGCTCCAACTCGCTGAGATTGACATCAGGAATTTGTTGGCAATGGAGATCAAGAACAAGGTACAGTTTGGACGAAGCTGGTTCATCACTGCATATATGTGTAGCGTAATCTTCTAGATTTTGGAGATCCTGCAATTTAAAGAAAGCTGTTATCATCGCTGCCTGTTCTTGGAAATATTGCTCGTTACAGCGAAGGACCATGCGCTTAGCAGTAACCTTGCCCGTAGTAAAAAGAGATAGTAACTGGGAGGACGAAGTTCTATAGCTCATGAAGCTATGTAGACGGGAAGGGGATTAGAGACCAGATGCTGACAGAGTTATGTGGACGCTGGAGCAGGCGAGATCCGAGCCGAGTAGCAAACACGTGGTGTTTTTAGTGCCTGAAGCACTAGAACTAGGCTTCGTGATTGTCACTTTGTAGCCTTAACCAATGCATTTGCGCTTGATTAGACGGGTGGACTGCGACAAGTAGTAGAATTAGAATATAAATTGCTGCGAAGTCTAAGTACCTATGTTTTATGCCGTTGCAGGGGGCGTCCCACAACCTAAGGAGGGAGGTAACTACTAAATTGGAATCACGCCTTCATTGTCACCACAACTCTACTCAAACTTCCTAAAGGACCTTTTCTGCGGAAGACGAGACATCCTACTATGCGTAATGCGATGATCTGACCTCCCGAACTTTGCAAATAGACCCTGTGCTTCTGCAAGACTTCTAACTGATCTAGGAAGGCCGCTGAGCTGTGAAGTACTTACACCCAACCGATGGAGAGAAATGTACAGGTTATCGTCGAGATCGTCGACCGAAAACGAGATGCTGCGTCGGAAAGGTTTGTTCACGGGCTTCGACTTCAGGCAGGGCACGGGTGTACCGTTGACCAAGAAGTAACTACCTGCATCGAAGATAGCTCGATGGAGCGCTTGCCTTCCTGCCTTGGAAAATTCCATTCTGCAAGCAATGTAACCCCGGCAGTTGTAGCAGTCGTTATCTACAGCTACCTCAGTGAGCCGAAAATAAAACATAGCTGCAATGAGATTCTCTTTAAAGGAAGATATCTCTGGACCTCCGAGGATTTCCTTTTCAGTTTGTTCCTTCAAGGCATCGATGGTAGCAATGTCGTCAATACGAGGCTCCTCTGTCTCCATAGCAAGATTGATCCGGTGGTAGCGCGAGTGGAACGACGAGGGTGTAAAGTTTATAATGTCTCTCCATGCACGCTCGGCATCGATATTCCAGTTAAAGGCCTCAAAGATACGAGAGAGAAATCTGTCCTTCGCGGGCGAGAATGGCCCCGTTTTGATGACATCTTGCTTCGCGGCACAGCCAGTGCCGATCGAAAGGACGAAATCGGGCTGCAATCCTGTTTTCTCTGGCCAAATGTATTGCTGCTCCCATAAAGCGATCTTCGTGGGATTGTTATGATGGAGAGCCCCGTCCTGGAATGTGCCAAAGTGCTTTAAGAGCTGCGGCTTGAAGAATCTTGAAGTTTGATTAGCGATCGTGACAATGGATCATCCCTGAGCGGAGCAGTACGTACCCTGGAGCAGCTGTGGTACAGCGAGCCCTAGGTCAGATATCGTCAGCCTTCCATCTACACATGTCTTGTGCTAGCAGTCAGGTACTTACGCTTCATCAATAGTAACGTCATGTTCCCGCTGGCAAGAGCGGAGTACGTTGTATCCTGTGCGTATTGGGTTAGCTTGGGGCCATTCGTACATGAGCTGAGTGACTGACCAATGTCGTCTGGTCGCTCCTCGCCATTGTAGTTACAGAGGACAGATGTTGTTTTGCCTCTCACGGGCGCAGCGATGACGGCCACCTTGGTGTCTGTGCTGAGGGGATTAAACATTTTCGGTGGCGGGCCAAATGCAGACTGAAACGCAGCTTCGATGGCAAGGGACTTGTACTGGTAGTCATTAATATATGCCACAAACAGCGATTGCAGGCGGCTGATAATAAGAGGGCCGTTTTTGCCCTTACCAAAGGTTTCATGCGCCAGGGCATAAAACTTTTCAAGACACGAAGAGGCCGACCACTGCATCAAAAACATACCAATGGCAGCCAAACCGCCTACGTTTCATGTAAGTCAAAGAGCGATCGCAAACTAATGAGACATACCGGAAGAGGTACCCGCAACGAAATCAAAATGATCCTGGAGCGGGCACCCTAGGTAGGCAAGGTCGGCTTCGAGGCCTCGAAGGATGGTCAGCGGGATGATGCCACGGACTCCACCACCGTCAAGGCCCAGAACACGGACACCAGCAGTTGGAGGGATAAACCTAAAAGACGTACTCCGAGCATTCTCACATAACAGACATCGAGGAAGTTGGTAAGTATTAGTATCGTGGTTGGTACAGAGACCGAACGTTTGAATACACGTGTCGCAATATGCATGAAAGCATTCAAGGACTTTCTCCGGTTTTCTCATTGAACAACACAGGCATAAATTCTGAGGCTTCAAGTTCTTCAACAGGCCTTGCAAACTAGCTAGGCGAGAGCTATGGATCTTGGCTGCACTGTTAGCATTCTTTGGCAACGTGTGAAATAGAGACGTCATTTCAGCTTCGATTTCGCGCAAAAATTTATCGTGCACTACCACGTGGGGCGAATATCCTCGTATAGCTTCCTGCAGGGGCGCCTCGTAGAGCTGTTTAAATACTTTCTGTGGCGAAAATTCTGCGAGTGTTAGTGGTAGGACGAATAGCTACAAGGCAAAGTATAACTCACTGTGAGACCCGGGTGGGTAACTAGCGAGCAACAACGCTGATGCCAATAGCGGGCAAGCAAGTTGCCAGAGCCAGGCTTCAGAGGGCATGAGGCTGAGAAGCGTTTGAGCGTGAGATGCCAGCTGGCTTGTCGTGAACCCATGCGAGCGAGAGTGGGCGAGGAACGAGAAAGGCGAGCTTCTATCCTCGCACAGATGCTCTGCTGCAGACCCGAAGAGCGCTTGGAAGTGCGAATAGTTTAGCATTTCATGGCAAAGATAGCGTGAAGCCTGGGCATCCTTATTCAGCACTCTCAGTCGCTCTCCAATCACTTCCGCTCGTCCTATGACATTCGTCTTGGAATTGACAGGCAGTACGCTGAGGCTGCGCCAGTGTTGATCAATGTCTGTATCACTTACTTGCCCTCCCGGGGCGCTGTCTGCCAGTGAGCTTTTGACAAAACCACGGAGCTTACGGGTCAAATCGGTAACGTCCATGGCACTGGGTAAAACATTCAGAACAACTACGACATGAGGTTTCGATGCAAGATCGTGTTCGCCATGCGCACGTATAAGGTCAGCTATAATATGGCCTGAAGCTCGGATACCGTGAAAATCCGCGGCAAAGATACACAAGACGTTGGAGAAAGGCGCAAGAAGGCGAGCGGTGACTTGCGACGCAAAGTCACGTATGCCTTTGCCCGGGGCAGTACACCGCGCGGTGCGAAAGGCGTTGGGCCCTCTCTGAGGCGCTGCAACGTCCCACTGGGAGGATGTGTATGAGAACAATTCGCAGTCGGCCCATAAGTTGAGATTTTTTGAGTCTTTCTCGTGCTCGTCCCGGAAGAGATGTACGTCTCCATGCCCAACAATCTGGTAGTCAGTTCCACCACCTAGAAGTTCTCGCAGAACCTTCGATTTCTCACTGCGCCCGATCAAAGTTATAAGGGATGGCCATAATGCGTCCTCAGAACGGATGTGGGAGCTCTGGAATGAGGAGTAAATGCTCTCGTTGATCCGAAGGGCTGGGCCATGCTTGCGTGACACTATGATCCACGGTGAACGTCCGTCCATGGTGATAATAACTGTGGTAAAGATGAATATATCAACGATAAGATGGCAGAGGAAGGGATGCTTGGTTTAATAATGGCTGTTTCCAAGTCAGGCGGTGGGCGCAGCAGCCCCTCTAAGCGCCAGCTGCAAACCGAGAAACTGCTTTTTGAAAAGTACGGCTAACGAGGGGCAGAGCGCCCGACTCAAGCTCTTTGAGAGAAACTTGCGATAATTTTCAAATATGAGGGCCGCATCCTGATATGAGCGCCGCTTCATCGCGCACAGCAGTTTCGACATCGTCATGATCGGAGCAGAGCACTTTCTCGGGTACGCGAGAATAGATCTGCAATGCATCAACTTCGAACACAAAATCAAAGAAACGCAACGTAGACGAGAATCGAAGAAGAACGTGAACCACCTTTTGGGCATCTTCCAACGTCTGGGCTGTAAGAATGATGAAGAAGAGCATGCGGTGATTGCAGTTGTCGAAGACGAAAGCGCCCTTCATGCTGGGCTGGAGGAACTTGAGCAAGCGGAATTGCCCCGTTCGCTTGGCACGGACGTAGATGTTCCGATACTGGAGGTCCCGGTACATGGCATCCAAGGCTTGCACAGGATCGCAGCAGGCAAGAAGTATCTTAAAGGGCCAAATAGGTGGTGGCTCGTACGTCTTTACTCCCGAAGTTTGTCCTCTCCGCCACTTCATACAAAATGCCCGCTTGCTGACTCACAGAAAGACTTATCCAGAAGTGACACGAAACAACTCGCCATACTCTATAGCCACGAGCAGCCGGAGACGGACGGCGATATACTTTGTAAAATCCTAATACACAAAGGCCAGCCCGAAGAAGCGATCTGGAATGCACGGTTGACGCCGACAAAGCGGAAAGACCTCAAACAGCTGCTCCGCGATGCCGGTTTCCTCGTGAAGTTTCGCCGACTCACGAAGATCCCGATTTTGTGGACACCGCTGGAACTAGGCAGCCTCCATCGCCTCCTCACTCTGCGTTGTCATGAGGTATATCCGGTACCCACACTTACGTGCTTCGTGGTGTACTGACGGGTCTCTCAGGAAATCTACAACGGACTAGACCATGTATACGACGCATGGACAGCATTTCTCCGTGGGCTGCCGGACGCTACGCCGGACCGATTCGATGCAGAAAGTATCGCTTTCATCGAAGGCCTGGCGCCTGCTTCGAGCGACTCCGACCGTGACCTCATTGAAAAGGAAATGACAACGGGCAAGCTCTTCCCGCGAGTAAAGGCTGCAGCACATCGAAAGACACTCCTTGAAAACTTATTAGGATATCCGTACATGATCCCAACCATAAAGTTCATATTTGAGGGTTTGAAGCAGCTAGAGCCGGCGTGCGAAGTCTTGAAGAAGTTCATCGGGCAGAGTTCGCGCAGCACAATTCGAAGCGGTTTTTTCGGGGCGTACGAGAACACCGAAGCCGCTCCAGTTGAACTTGGGGAGCGCCATTGGCGCAAGGGCACGTGGCAAACAGAAGAGGCTCGGCGAGAGTTCTTGTATATTCAGCAATGGGTTCGTGCCCTCCGCAACTTCTACTATATGACGGATTTCACTCCCAGAAAAGAGGTTGGCAAGGCGAAGCCAGAGATTAAGCAAGCCAGTCCGTTTCTGGAGTTCCAACTTGGCCGTCTTGCCATGCGCTCGGGGTTCAAGACGGAAACTGCTATGGAATGGAACCAGCGTGATGTGTCGAAGGAGTGGACGCAGCGCCTGTGCTGCGACATGGAGATCGGTTTAGGCGAAATCGACGATGCGACTAGGGCCCAGATCGCCATGAGCCTGCCGAAGCGCAGAACTGCAAGTCCTGGGAAGGACGTCAGGCTCTTAGGTACAGAGGCATATCCCAAGGACCGACGTAACGGCCGGCCGTACGAGGACGACTACTTTGGCGATAGGCAATCTTACTTTCTGTATCCGCTCCTGCGAAAGAATACTAACGACGACAGGCTTTCCGCAGAGGACGCCGAAGAATACAGAACGGAGAGGCCATATTTTATTACCTCCTTATTTGCACGGCGAGACCTCTTGTTCTGTTTCTTCGGCCATAATATTGTTGACCATTTACCATCCCATATAGATGACGATCCTTACGACGACGATGACGATGATGATGGTGGTGGCGGCGGCGGCGGCGGCGATGATGTTGATGTTGACGGTGATGGCAATGATGGTATTGCTAGTAGGGATGAGAGTGGTGGCGCAGGCGGTGGTATCGATGAGAGTAGCAACTCAGTCAGTGACACTCCCATGCCTGATGCAGACACAGCCGCTTCCGAGGCGGAACTCCAGAGTGCACGAATGCAGCTGGAACAGGCTCAGAAAGAGCTCTCGCGTTTGAATGCAGAACTCGTGAGAGTACGCGACGAAGCCAGTGCAACAGAGTTAGCACGCAGCGAAATGGATTCAAAGAATAAAGAACTTCAACGACAGATTGACGACCTGGCAAAACAGTGGCGCGAAGCTGAGTCGAAATTCGCTCAAGATCTTAAGATTGTCACATCATCACGCGACACCGAAGTAGCGAAGGCCATGTCACTTTTAGAAGAAGAAAGAAATAAGCTCAAAGCAGAAAGAGAGCGTGAATTGAAACAACGATCCGTGACAATTGGGCAACAGCCTCTCTCAGCAGGAGAAAGAAATAAAGGTAAAAAAGACGCAACTGCTCCGCCAAAGTCTCCGCAGCAGAGGCCCTCAACACCAGAAGTCAGAGCCGGCCATGATTTTACGGCAAGATACACACCCTATAGCCAAGAGCTTATACAGCACATCGGCACAATCATGCGGGCTTCTAGTGCTACTCAGTTAAGTCCGCAGGGTCTTCGCAAGTTCCCTGGCGGATATGGGATATACACCTTGAATTTCGAACTAGCTAATGGCGAGTGGTATTGTTTCACCGATTTGATTAATGGCACCGTCCTCCCATATCTATTCGAAATATTACAGACACCAGAGGGGTTTGAGTGGCAAATTTCTGCTGTGGAAATCCTAGGCTCAAATAAAGTTATCCCACCTCCTACATCGCTCGATGAGCTGCAGGAAGCAGCTAAAAACCATGGGTCACTGTGGATTTCCCAGCTGGTAAGAGATGCGTATTCTAACGATAATACCGATGGGTCTTGGTGGCCGGTTGAAGGTAGGAAAAGGGTGAAGCGTAATGATGGCTTGGCGAGAAGCACTTTCCCGTTGCTGGCGTATGAAAATACCCCTTCCCCTGTGGAGGACACCGAGGCCGAAACAGCTGTAACTGCATCACCTTCTAAGAGAAAGCGCACGGATAGCGACGGCTAAAGATGGGGAGAAGTCAGTTAACTTAGTAACTTAAATAATATCTAATTCAGTTCGATTAATCACCTCTGCGAAACTAGCTAAAACCAAAGCTTGCTTAACTTCTTCTACTCTGCGTTCAATTAACCAATAATAACCAATGGAAATAAATGCATTCTCTGTCTAACCACGATTTATGGAAGGTTAATGGATGGCACCTTCCTACCGAGCACCGGGAGACCAATTGCATCTTCAACCACCTCAATCCGCTCGGTATTCTCTACAAAGAATAAAGATGTCTTCCTGGCCAGTTCATTGCAGATCCTTTCTAACACTTCACACTGCTCTTCGAGTTGCTTCATCCTTTCCTGGATTCGGTCTTCACGAATCTCGAGGACATGGATGAGAGACCTCAACGATGCGAATTCTTCAATCTGGCGGCATTGGGTAGAGCAAATCATTCCAGCGATGGACTCCACTCTCTCAGATAGGGCCGTCCACGGCTTACGATCCATCCGTTTTGCCTGGCATGTAACGCTGTCTATTGCTGATTAGCGCCGATAGGCTGGATATTGACGAATGAGAGACTTACCTGTGGCTACGGCGGCATCTGTGGTAGCTGTCTTGCGCCTTTCCATGAGGATAGGTGAGTCGGGAAATTTGCTGGTATCCATAGGAGAGTGCATTGTAGCGTGAGGATTACTCGTTCTGACGAAAATTGAGCTTGAAATAAGAGGTAGGCTTACTATTATATGCGATAGTGAGCACACATACGAACGCTGTTCTATTCTCATCCAGCGCGTAGAAATCCAGGAACCCGGTTCTGCACCCAAATGCCATTGCTATGGTGGCTTAAGAGCAGCACGGCGGACTAGATAAGTGCGTGTTAACTTCGCATTGTTGTATTAATAATTAATTCATTTCATTTGTGTACCCAGACGTAATAACAGCAACAGCGGCATTATCGCTCCACCACCGACAAGAACACACTCTTATTCTACTATTACAATTACTACTACTGCATCTCCTTCAAACAACTTCGCCATGCAATTGACGGTTACACAGCTCCGGCACGTCCCAAAACTTCAACGCAGCCGCCGCATCAAAAAATGGATAAAGGACTGCTCTACTGTTGAAGAAGACGGGCAATATCAAGACCACGCCACACACAATGTCATCCCACCGGATCTGCTAAAGCTAACGCAGCCTTCCATTGTGTTCTGTTTTGATCCTCTCTTTCGCGGATTCTACAAGACGGCAAAGCCGTGGCTCCTGGGGCAGGTCGGAGGGGGGCACGAATAGTAGCACAGCATAGAATAATGCAAACTTTCATGCAGAATCATCCCAAGTTGCAGTGCATGCTACGCACGTACACTAGCTTCGCGTTATACTGAAATTATATAACTGTAGTGTTGATTTATTCAATAATATCATAGCTTGGCGTCTGCATACCAACGTATTTACCCCGCATTTAAATGTGATTGGACTGATGCTCTAAGCGCGCGATACGATATTAGGTGGCGTCACATGAATCTGATTCGCTTCTTTAGATGTACACCTGCGCCTTCAAGTTGCCTAAGGCAGATTTCGAGCCAGCATCGCCCAGTATCAGTACAAGCATAGAGGTAGCCCGCAGATGGTGAAACCTAAATGTGGCTGTGATGTACGCGCGTAGGCGCGATGCTGCTCGAATTTCCCAGATTCCGGAAACCTCACCGAGTTCCTTTTACATCAGCCGTTTCTATATAACCATGGATCAAATCCAGTAAATGAAGATAGTAAGAAAGTATTAGAATGGCCACATCAACACTTCATTCTCCATTCATTAAAGCTTCACCTGCTCCAATGGCTGGTACAGGACTTTACAGTTTCCTACCAGAACAGCAACAGCAGTCTGAAAATTCCTACGTCTCTCTTCCAACAGACTTACTGAACCCCAACCCGGTCAGTCAACTCACCCCGTTTATGAATGCATACTTATCGTCTCGCTCTGCAGGAAACTTTTGTGCTGCCTTCTATGAACACGAATGTGGGCTCTTCTGGAACATCCGAAGCAGAGGCTGCATCCGCGGTGATTCGCAGGATGTGTCTTGAGGTTCCCAGCATATTCAATGAGAACCAGAAACTAAAAGCCAAAGCAGTAAAGGACAAGCAAAGGATGAGGAAGTACGCAGAGGACTTCGCAAAGCTAGAATCCCAGCTTCCAAGCCTTCAAAGCATGGACCAGACGATAAAGGGAGTGGCGCTATCACTGGAGGGTCGCAGCCGGATGGAAGACATGCTCGAAGTTGCTCTCGCTGGAGAGACTCGCGCCAAGATCCAGCTCTCGAATGCCCTTCGTCAGGCGCATGCTTGGAGAGCAGCGTATGACGACATGGCACAAAGAGTTGCAAGTATGCGCCTCTGTAGTCATTGCTGTGGGGCTCGTGATTCGATTTGGCGATATTCACCTGTACATAGAGAGGATGAGGGAGAAGCGGTTGATGATGAAAGTGACAGCGAAGATAGGACTGGAGTCGAAATAGTGGAGAAAAACCATCAAAACAAACGACGTAAGACGTCCTGAGTTTGGGTAGGCGAGAATAAGGTTATGGCGGTGCTTGTGGGATTCCCAATGGATTTCTGGCGTTTTGGTGCTATGGTAGTGTTCCTTTCACAAAATCGCACATCCTAACTTACCTCCCATGAGAGCGAAATCACGTGCAGTGGTCTATTTAGGTGTTTCGCAGAGTCCTTTTTCCGCAACTCAGCAATTATTCTTATGTTACATTCTTATATACAAATTATTAGGCAGAAATATCATCACATTGCACGCTTCAAGCTGTATTCACGGTCTATTGTCCTTACACCCCCATCCATCTGTCACCATCCCATCTCATAAACGTATGGTATGAAAGGCAGACTTGTGCTGCTCGACTGACAACCCTGCGGTGCGGGACGCCCACTACAGAGAGAGAAGGTGTAACACAATGTAAATGAATACTGCCACTAAGGCAATAATTTCGAAGCTACAAGGCGCGTTTGGCTTCGACGGGCTTTACAGGGCAATATGATCTGTGAACGATCGTTCACTCTCCTCTCTTTGTCTCTTAAATATCGTGATCCAACCGTCGCAACTGTCTAGTCACGACTCTAGTCGATCAGGCTGAGAAACACCTAAGATCCAGAGCATTGCAACGGGGCAAAATAGCGGTATGCGGGGCCGATTTGGTTACGCCGCCCATTCGCTTTCATTCGATGACTCTTACTTTTCGCGATTCCGTATAAGTTTGCGCAGTGAATGGGAGTTAAGTGTCTGTCGCAAGACTAGATTCGCAAGCATTTGGACGAACTCCAGGATCCTTGCGGTGGTACAATCGTTTTTGGTTCATAGTTGGCCGAGCCGTTTCCGAAACATGGGTATCGGGGTCATATGACTTATTGCGACATCGGAATGCCAAGTCTTTGCCGCTCGCTGAAGGTCGCCGCAGCACGATTCTGTCCTGTGCAGTCCAGGAACTAGGAAATGAACGTCTTCACCATACTCTCTCGGCCGGATTATAAATAAGACCCCAGATTAGCTATGCTATGCCCAATAAACTTGACGCTTTAACTCACCAAACTTTCAGGATGCTCTCTACTATTTTCCTTCGAATTTTCGCAATAGTTGTAGCTACTGCTGCTGCTGCAGCACTTCCCACGCCCCAATTTGCAAACTCGGTAAAGGTGATATCACCTCTGCCCCCGAGAGACATTAACATCCCCTTCCAGTCACGGCCAGCGGGGCAGTTTGCGGCCAGAAATATTATTAGACGCTCCAATATTGTTCTCCCATCAATCCCAGAGGAGCCGAATGACCTTTCGTCTCCACGGATCTCTGACGATCCCGGTCTTAGTGCAATGTACCGGGGCAGCACCAAGTCTTCCAAGCGTCATGCAGAATCCAAGGGCATTCCCAGAGATGGGGTTATTGAATATCCCGTGACGACTATAGAGCGCCAATTACCACCTCGGAATTCTCTCGCGAAACGCGAAGACCAACCTGGACCCATCCCGGTTAGTATTGGCAGAGGATATAGTTCTAGTGGTAGTATTGGCAACCATATTTCGAAGAGTGGTAGACGCGAAGCACAGCCAGTTGGCCGTGGGGGAGGAACAGGCAGAAATCGCGCTGATCCGTACATTGTTAAAAGGCGCACGCCTGCTGTTCGAGCGGAGCCTCGCTTGCCACCTCGAATGCTAGTTGTAAAGGCCCCCACATCTCGAAATGATCCTCACGGCGAACATCCTCTACCTGTGCGAAGTACTCATGCAGTTTGAAGCGGTTCTGACCCTAACATGCTTCCATATACAGGACGTACACCATTTCTTTTTCAACGTACCTCCGGATCACGAGGAGCGTAACGGGAAAAGCCCCAAGGTGGTAGAGAGATGCAGCGTGCTTTTTGACGAGGTGGACCTCGTATTGAGGAAGTTTTCGATAAGGCGGAGAAGTGAGACAATGCCAGACCTAATGATGCCGGTCGTAAGTAGTAAGAGTGATCGAGTACTAGTTCGGACCTCATTATGTCTTTCTTTCTTTGTATCGGTGGCTCTATTCTGCCTGGCGCAGATGCCGCTCGATTGTACACTATCGTCAGTCTTTTCGTTACATGGCTACTCTTATTGGCACTTTCTCCTCTTTCCTGCATCGCCATGTGACGCAAAACCTCGACTTCGTCTAAATACGGGTCATGTCTTTCATATGCTCGACGCTTTAGGCGTATCAAGTACTTCAGCCGGTTAGTCATGCCATATGGTCCTCTAGTGCCTTTGCGGATTCGGAGATAGCTGGAGTATGCCATTGGAGTGGTTTTTGGTTCTTAAAAGCTCGATGTGAGAAAGCAAAGAAGAGAGCAATATTAAGCAGTGTGTCTCTGCCGTCTGCGAGCCAGCTGATTCTAATTGCAGGGATATGATACGGTTTTCCGTCAACGATACAGTCCGTAGATGTAGGACTGGCCCGTACACTTCCATGTGCACAAGTTAGGATAAAAGCACTTTTTTGATCCCAATAATAAATCGTGTATATGCTCCGCCGTCGTCTTTAAGCATTCTGACAACTGTTGATTTTAGGTATTCGTTCTGGGCCATAAGTTATAGCCTTTCTTCCTGCTTCATCGGCTAAAGCATTTGTGTTTTTCATGAGTGCTTGAGCTCCAGTCAAAACTTGGTTTCAGGAAATTAGCACGCTGCGCCACAGGTCATAATGTTCTCACTAATATCACCCCCTAGCAACATAAGTAAGCGCCGGAGAGCTGGATCCATTACAGCAGCAGCTATAGTAAGGCGAATAAGAGAAGCGAATGTTCCAATGTTTCAGGGCACGCAGAAATCTTAAATTTGGAATCTCTATACTAAAAAAAATTGAAAAAGGATTCCAATCTATACGTAATCTGGATTCTAGCTTAAAACGACTGTTTGCTCATTGGGTGGGTACCATGTATGAGAATTGCCGACACAAAAAATCTTCTGTCGTTTTGATCTTCATCGCGGCCGCCCGCATGAATTCCACTATCTTTGGTATTTGGTCCAATTTCTGTTTATATAAGGTCAGCTAAGCATCAATTTGTTGTGTTTTCTGTGCTGCCGACTACTCAAAACTGATAGTGATGCTTGCAATTTTTTCACCTATCTCTCCAACCTCTTAATCTTTCTGAATCATGATTGCACGTAGTAATATGGGAATTAATTAGTTGCATGCTTTATGTTGCTAAACTTTCCAGCGTATCCTGCAATCTGCTGAGCTTTTAAACTTTGGGATTAATGTACATGCGAAGCTGCTCCTTAATCATCTCCTGATAAAGTTTTTGGAGCGTACAGCATGCTGAACATCATTCTCTTTCAAAATCGAACCTGCTATCATCAAATCCCATCAACACTTGGCAAGGTGCTCCTATACTTACATGTTCATTGAGTTGGGCAACAATCATTCCCAAATCTCTAGACTTTCCAAACGCGGATTCATATATTCAACCTCTCAGACGCAAGGAGCGACTCAATTGTAGAATTGCGTTTTAAGTCCACTATATTTGCGATTGGTGGAGGACGAGTTGCACAGAGTTGTTGCGACTTTAATATATTATTCATGCATCGAAATTCAAGTGCTTCAAGGCTTTTTGCTGTCGCAGTCTCCGAGCTTTTCAACAGGTCTAGTATGCGAGCATCGAGATTCTTGAGAGCTGTTTGAAGACTGGTAAAGGCAGCGTCTTCATTCCGGGTTTGAACTTCTAATAAGCTACGAATCTTAAGATAGATATTATGTAGGAAGAAAATTTCATCTTTTAAAGTAATTATATCCAATTTTTCTTTATTGTCCTCTATGTATGTTTGTGTACAGGCTTATCGTGATGGGCCTGCGGAACGATTTGAGGGAATATGAGTTCTGAGATCTGAAGTGCGTTCGTAACACCTGCGACCTCAATGTGATTGCGCAGCCCATTCACTGTTTGACGGCTATCAATATTTTGAATGCCTATGTCATTATCAGCTGCTAATTACGATCGAGGCTCTATTATGTGCTCTACAGGGTATTTGCTAGTCACCTCAAAAGTCAAATCATTGTTGATCTCCGCATTTGCCGGTTCGCTGGAGCTTACTGGAGTATTATGGAGACTATTGAAGAACTTATCAAGCCTCGGGCTTATACTGTGTGATCGCTGAGTAGATCTCTTCACAAACTTGTGTATTTTTGATGATGGGCCAGGTCGGATCAATTATCGTAGAATTTTGTGTATTTTTTTGCACTTAACAAACTTTCGTAATTTAGAACTATTCGCAGTCATGTTGAAGACTGATTTTAAATTTCTGGTTTTTAGAATTATCGGAAGGTATCTTATAAATATCTTAAGAGCTTTGATTTTAACGAGGCAGTTTCTTCATGCGCGCGCTTCAAGCATATCTTTAGGCCCCTTAACATCAGAATGCTGCGGCGCTGGCCTTGCAGGAGGCCATGCAACTTTGCTGAGTTTCATGCAACTGATTGGAGTGGAAGACAGGCAAGGCACACTCCATTTTCTTGAATCTTGATTCCTATTTTTCGTGATGTTTCTTTATCGAGGTGATTTTTTTTTTTAAAAAAAAAAAAAAAAAAAAACTTCCTGCTTTCTAAATATATACATTTTGGCGCTTAAAAGCTCTTTCATTTGAAAGCTCGGTTTTGTGCGAGGTCTGAACTCTCACTTTTCTAGTTTTCTTCCATATCGTGGCGGTGTTCGACCTCAGCGCTTAATTTTCATTAACGGCACCAAATTTTAAGACATCTCATCCGTTCTGCTATATATAAAATAGTTGTTGGCTAAGGATGAGGGTCCAAAATTCATATCATGCTATCCTTCAAGACTGACTTGTTAAAAAGGGCTGTCTATGGCACTACTGCTAGTTATAAGGTCACTGATCTCATATCTAATTGATCAAAATGGTGCTAATTGGAATATAGGCTGGCATACTCGACACAAAACTTGTTGATCATATGATTCTGGCAACCTACGGCGACAAACACCGAGTAGCTACTCTTTTCTCTCATCTCCAACCTCGCTTGAAAAGCTCTAACAAAATAATCTTATATAAATCACTGATTGTTATACACACTTTAATACATTATGGAGAATCAAAATCTGTGTTGGAGTATCTAGCAAAGCATCCGCAAGTGCTTATAGATATTGAGCTGCGGTCCATAGAAGGTATATCAGTATTCTACTTGAACGAAATCCATCTAAAGATTATAAGAGCCACAAGACCGCTATTTAGTAGCGCATTCTGAATATCTTCTGGCCCGTGCTACGTCTTATTCACTCTGTCAAACAGACCTTCTTCGAAGAGAGTGTCACGGGGCTACCCCATGACACATGACTGGCACCATCCTGTTGCCTGTCCGATCAAAGCAACACCGACATCAGCCAACCGAGCTCCTGAACTG